CACAATGACCCTCCATACACACAAACAGTACCCCTTACACACACTGTACCCCTCATACACTGCCCCCCCCACACACACACTGTTTGCCTCACACAACATGCCCCCCACACACTGTACCCCTCACACACACACTGTACCCCTCTTACAACCTGCCCGCACACACACACACTTTCCCCCTTACATACAAACTGCCCCACATACACACACATTGCACACCACACACACACATACTGCATCCTTCACACACACTACATACTTCACAAACTTAATGCACCCCATACACTCACTGCACCCCACACACGTACACTGCACCCCTCACATGCACACACACACACACTGCCCCCACCCATACACTGTACCTGCAACCTGCCCCCCCAAACACACACATTACCCTCCATATACACACATTGCCCTCCCATTCACACACACACACACTGCCACTCCATACACACAAACAGTACCCCTCACATGCACTGTACCCCTCATACGCTGCCCCCCCCCCACACACACACACTTTACCCCTCACACAATCTGCACCCTCACACACTGTACCCCTCACACACCCACGGTACCACTCATGCATCCTGCCCCCCACTGTACCCCTCACGTGCAAACTGCCCCACATACACACACAGTGCACCCCTCACACACACAAACTGCATCATTCACACACACCCTACATCCTTCACAAACACAATGCACCTCCGTACACTCACTGCACCCCACACAAACACGCACACACATGTACACTGCACCCCACACACGCACTCGCACACATCTACACTGCACCCCTCACACTCACACACACTGCACCCCTCACACGCACACACACTGCACCCCTCACACACACACACTCCACCACTTACACACACACTCCACCACTTACACATATTTCACCCCTCACACACACACATATTGCACCCCTCAGACACACACACACTACGGCACTACTGGCACCATAACCACTACAAAGTGCTGTAGTGTTTATTGTGCCTGGATTCTACAAGTGCCCCTGCCGAGATTAGTTTCTGGATCTGCACTTGAACGGCAAGCATTTCTCCCGAACAGGGGCCCAGTATATGCCGCTGCGCTGTACATATATACAACGTAGGAAATAATTGTAATTTGGGGTACCTTGGAAAAATATTGAAATATTAAGGGCACCTTGAACTTAAAAAGTTAAAAACACTGGTATAACACATTTAGGCCAAAGTAGCTGCAATGGAAAAAATTATCATATTCAGCTATTTTATTGTATTAACTATATATACATAGAGAGAGAGAGAGAGAGAGAGAGAGACAAAGAGCAAGAAAAATAAATATATCTCTCCCCCTTCTCTCTCTCTCTCTACATACATATATATATATATATACATATATATATATATAACCTCACATTATTGAGATATATGTATCTAACACTTACCAATTATTCCTCAATGTACTTTCCCAGAAATGTTATAACAAAAATCTGAAGTGAAGTTCCAAACTCTTTTATTTTACTATTACTATGTAAATCCACAGGAATAAACATGGAAAAATAAGTCCCACCTGAGTGCTGTTTTGTTTTTTTACCTATTTCCAGCAAGTTAACTTTAATATCTGAAACCTTAGGTGTTCTCTGCAACAGCTCTTAATTCCTAGTACTTTAGTTGTTTGTATACCCTTTCTTTGATCTTCAATGACATCTGTATTTTTTACAACACATACATGAACAGAGAGTGGCTCATTAAGTGGCTGTATATTTTGGCCATCTGGAGCTTGCAAAATGGCTTAAAAAGAAGATGTGAAAGCAGATGCAGCCATTGGCATCCATCCTTTGGTACTTTGCGACTGATCAACCAGATGTTGCCAAATGTTCTCTCCATGCAGCTGCTGAAGTTATTCAAATTCTCATATTAAATGTGTTTTGCTGGACATAATGTCTCTGTGCTTGTGGTGCCAAACCTGACTCAGTCACACGTAAGCTTGTCAGAGCTCCATTTTAATGTGGGATGCTTAAAAATAAATATTCCAGGGACAAATGGAGTAATCTTTTCACCCAACACAGAAATGATGCAGACATTTTTATTCTTTAGCACAGGTGTACGTATCAGCTCTATTAACACATCAGCATCATAGCATGTTATATTCTGCAGTGTAATAGACATATAGAATAATTGTTGATAGACACAAGAGGTTTCAGAGAGCCCTGCTCAAAGGTTTCTGTTGAAAAATAATTAGGACATTTTATCGCCCCTTTTATCGATGCCTTGAAATAAGAAAAAGTAAATATAAACGACATCACAATTTGCTTCACTAGACCCAAGTGATAGAAATGTAGTTTTATCCCCTTTAAATAATACCAAAAGTCAAATTAAAATGTAAATGCTATTTATGATATATCTAAAATTTAGTTTTTTATTGGACTCATGAAAAGCTGGTCAGCCAGATAAGTTTAATCTACCAGGCCTCATACTCTGTGTATGTGAGACAGTGTGGATCTTGTGTATTTTCCTGCAGATCACCTGCAGAACATGTCGAAAATCCTGATGAATACCAACGCTCTCTTTTATCAGTTTTTCATCTGTGTAGTCAGTACTAATGGTAATAATATGGATTCATAAAGCTTAACGATAATTACCAGTAGACAAAGCTATGATAAATGTGCTTAAGAACTGTGAAGATCACACGCTGAAGTGAATTATGTTACCTTAGTTGGCTGGCTGATAGTATTTTGAAAGGTAGCTATCACTTTCTCTAGAATTGCAGGAATGTTGGGTAAATGAACAGGGAAACTTTTTTTGCTACAGATTACAAATTCCTGCCCAATTACTGACAATTTCATGTTTAATAAATAAGCCTGTATGTCTCGAAGATTGTCAGAACTCTTGATGTTTGTACCTATAAAAGGTATAACATCAATCTTTTGGACAGATACTGATTTTCTTGAACTCTTGAAACTTAAAGGGTATTTTTTTGTGTTCTCAATAAGTTGTTGAGACACACTAGTGTAATTAAAGAAGAAGCTTGCACATTTCTTCTCTTTAATTTGTCCTAAAATTAACTTACTGAAAAAAAGAAGGGATGTTTGTATCTTGATCCCAGGTTGCTCATTTATCTTGAAGAGCATAAAGAAGCTTTGCCAAAATCGGATTTGCAGAATGTGCAGTTTCAAAGTTGATGTGTGCTGGGGATGCAGTGTGTGTCTGTGTGCTGGGAATGCAGTGTGTGTATGTGTGCTAGGGATGCAGTGTGTCTTTGTGTGTGTGTGTGTGTGTGTGTGTGTATGCAAATGTTCATTTGTTGAGAGCATCAATGCATGTTGATGTTGTTAGTGTGGAATGTATATGTGAAGTGCATCAATGTTGGTGTGAGTGGTATATGGGTGTTTGTGTACATAAATAGCAGGTTTTGTGTTATGCATGTGTGTGTAATTCTTTTCCCCAAAAAAAATTCCTCACTGCTCTATCTTGCAACTTCTCACTCCCTACCGCCTCTTTGTGTACCCACAATTTATTGTTTCACTATATTCCAGTAATTTGATTTTTAAATACCCCATGGAAGCACATTTCATTAATATGGATGTGTGTCCAGAGAACATGGACAAATGTTTGTCTCAGGAAGACAGATTTGGTTATTGTGTGTGTCTGCATATGTGCCTGTAACTGTGTGTGACTGTGTGTCCCAGTAATAGTGACTATGTTTCCGACTGCATGCCTGTGATTATATGTGTGGTGTCTATGCCTGCAACGGTGTGTGATTTTATGTGTGCCTTTAACTGTGTGTGCCTATGGCTTTGTATATGGACTTGAAGTGTAACTGTGTGTGACTGTGTGTCCCTGTAACAGTGACTGTGACTATGTTTGTGACTCTGTACATGTGATTATGTGTGTGGTATATGACTATGTGTGTGCCTGTTACTGTATGTTACTGTGTGGATGCCTGTAACTGAGTGTGCCTGTAACTATGTGTGAGACTGTGTGCCGTGTGTATTGACAGTGTGTCGTGTGTGTAACTGTGGTCATGTGTCTGCGTGTATAACTGTTTGCTACAGTGTATGTTTCTAACTCTGTGCACCGACGACAGTGTGTCTACATCTATCTGACTCTGTGTGTCTGGATGTGTACGTGACTATGTGTGGGTATCTGTTACTGTGTGCCTGTGACTGTATTTGTTTGAATTTGTGTTTCTGTGTGTGCATATGACTGACTGTGTGCATAATTGTGTAATTATTTATGTTGCAACTGTGTATGACTGTGTATGTTTGCTGGGGTGCAGAAAAGTGAAAGAGGATTAAGAAACAGACAAGACGTAAGAGAGACAAAAAGATACAGAAGAAGTAACGTTGGTTGCACAAGGTTGGAAGAGGGATTAAGAAAAACACACAAACACAAAGGGTCAGGAACTACACACAAAGGGATGAGTGGGTGTTGAAGCAACACATAAAAGTTTAAAAATGTAGGGGGGGAGATGGCTACCAACATAGATTTCTACCTCAAGTGAAATGTGACTTTGGTACGCCTCTGTTTCCACCCCTCAATAACTAAAATATAATTTCATAATTCATACCTTTTTTAACCCTGTGTCTAACCTCAGTCCTTGTGTAGAGAAACCAAGCGGACACTGTAGATTTTGCCAGCTTTTCATGTTGGGCTCTCCCCTCTGTCGAGCCCACCACGTTATCTTCCATTGTATAGAGGTGGATTGACATTTTATAAATAATAAAATGGGATAGCAAATACTACAATTTTTATACATAACCATAAATGTGTAAGCCCCAGCCTACACTGTCCTGCTAAGAAACACTGCCCTTTATTAGGCTCTGAAATATTTTTTCATTATTTGCCTTCTCCATTAGTCTCTAATAGCTTTCTAAATTCCATGTTACTCTGAATCTTCACAGTCAGGTTCTGTTCAGACTCTTGCCGTTAGGTGGCGCTGGCACTCTACATCGCGTTCTGCAAGTGAGCTTGCTAAGTGAAGTGAGGAACTTATGAGCGCGGTTTTGTTTCCGACCGGACGCCTGGTGTCAGGGCACACCATCATGTGATGGAACGTTGTGTTTTTCTGGTTCTCTGAGTGTTCTATATCTAATCCCCCAGAGGCTGGGATCATGCTGCTGGTCCTGAGTGACGAGCACCGCGAGCACCTGCGGATTCTGACCCAGGTGGACCCCTCTGGTGAGTCACATGACAGCAGGAAGCACAGTCCTTATTTACATACACTGTACTGCTCTATAGCACCAGCCAGGAGGTCTCACACAAAACATGTATGCTGATATATCAGGATCAACAAAACTATAAACAATATAAATACATTGTATCAGCTGGAGAAGCTGCAAGTAATAGATGAGCTGTATTATATTGGCTATAGAACAGCATTGTACTGTGTTTCTTTTAAAGTCTCTCTACATGAAAGTGCTGGCACATTTACCCTATTGAAAGACCTGCTTTCACTATACCCTTTTCTGGTTTGATCTGCCTTCAGAAATTTATGTTTTAGAGCATCTTGAAAATAAGGGTCCATTAAACTGTAATAATAGATTTTGTGGTTTGCATCGGCGTTGCTAGTGCTGGAATTCAACGTATCAGTCACTACCTGACCGTCACCTCCATCGGCTGGTGTTTATATTTCGTGTGGCAAGTGCCAGTTTTATATTGGCTCGTTTGCTTTAAGTGCCCAAACACTAGCACTAATACGAGTTTATTCTCAAAAAAGTGTGAATTGTCAGGATTTTAAAGGGATTTTTTTTTTTTTTGCATAAAACATGAATTTTACTTTGAATTCCCAACAATTCACGCTTTAAATGAGCTCTGTAGTGTTAGGAATACAAGGGTGTACTGCTAACACAATAGTGTCCCTCTACCCCCTCCCCTCGCAGTCCTATTGGCATTCTATATGTCCATCCTAAAATTAACGCTCAAGGAGCGTTTTAAAATATATTTTAGTCTCCTCAATCCGAGTTGGGCAAAGCTTCCCGGCACTGCTCGGCGCATCCCTGTGTGATGTCATTGGAGCAGTTCTGAGGTCTATTCAAATGAGATTTTGCGCTCTTGCAGCTCGAAAGAAGAGGGTGAGGAAGTACATTGAGCATGAGGATAAAATTGAAAAAAAAAAAAAAATGATGGGATTGGGAGGAGAGACAAGAGCTTCTTCCTTGCAAGCTCTGCCTGTTATGTCTGCTGGCAGTGTGCAGTGCACGCTGACAACAGACGTATATTTTGCACAGAATTGACATGAGCGGAACAGAAGGCAAAATACATGGGTGGAGGGATCAAACTCTACCAAGTGTTCTTGCTGTTCAAAATGACTGTGTGCTGGGTGAGTAAATTTTCATGTAAATATGTTTAGAATTACACCATGCCGACTGGCATTCAATTATATTCTTCACCTCCTCAAGCCAGGTGAAGGCTGGCTTGTCTATCAGGTATTTAAAAGGACACACTACTATGTGCCCTCAAAAATACAAATCACTGTTTAGTAGATGTACCCTAAATAAAAACATGCTTGAATTTAATTATGCATTTTTTTCATTGAGGTATATTTAACCCCTTGAGGACCAAACTACTGGAATAAAAGGGAATCATGACATGTCATGTGTCCTTAAGGGGTTGAACAGCTTGTAAAAACAAAGATCTTTTGACTGCAGCCTTTGCAAGCCCTTCTCTTAATGTCTAGCTCAGACTTTCCTTGCAGCTCACTGTGAAGTCTTTGCAAGGTAGTTGCTCTGGGCATTTGATCGCTCTTGAGTTGAACGCCACCGAGCTTACCAAACCAGGAAGTAACAGGACCTGTTACCTGATTGACAACCAGGACGATTGTAACAAGGCTAATTTTATAAAAGTGATCATTTCTATTAAAATCTTGTCCTTAACAATTTGTAATAAAGATTAAAAAAAAGAAAAGAAATATTCACTTTTTGTAAAATAAAAAAGAGTGAGCTTGCATATATATGAGGTTCTATCTTTTTCATGGTTCACCAGCAGTGACAGCTTATTACACCTTTAAATATGCATTACATTTAGGGAATTAGGAGCAATTCTCCAGCCCCAACATATTTACCACTCTGTTACTCATTATGTAGCTCCATTATGACTACCACTTTCACCTCATACTTTGAAGTTCTCCTCTGAAGTTCCTCTGTTAGTTTACCCTCCCCTTGAGAGTCAGTGCATTTATCCACCTCTTATTCCTTTTTGGATATCCATTGATAGTGCCTTTTCTCTTTTGAGCTATAATAAAGTATCTGTACATTTAAATTTTATGGCACTCTTTGGAACCAGTATACTTCTATTTGTTATATGAATAAATTTAATTTATTAGTACTCAGTGCTGACTTTTAAATCATAATATGCATTAGGTATTTTTCTATACTCTAATTTCTTAAAAAACAGTTCTGAGTTTCATTTTTTTTTTTTTTAAACTCTTAGTATTCCTTATTCTCTAATATGATGAAATGGAAAACTGAGCTACTCCGCAAATCACTCTGCTGAAAATGTTTCTTTCTAATGTTACATT